GGTCTCGTTTAAATTATGACGGGGGCATTCGATCTCGGATTACAGTTCATTTGGCCGATTTCCAATTACAATTAAACTGATTACCGGCGTGGCGCGGCCGACCGGCCGGCGGACTAACAAAAAGCGCGCAATATCCCGACGTTATCGGCATCGTTCCAGAATGCGGTTGTACGCGAACACGCGCCGAACTTTATTATCTGGTGTGCATCAACCGGCGCACAATGCCCGTTGGATTTCCACGATTTTCACAATGTCCACGCGTGTCCGTGGCCAATTCTCCCCGGCCGCGAATTAACTTAGTCGGCTAACAACTTTTTTCAAACTTCGTTACAGACTTTCGTTGCGCTTTCGTGTCGCCGCCTCGGCGCTTCTTCCATTCGCGCACGATGCCGTCTCATTTCCGGACGTCTTTCGTCGGAAACGCGTCGACGACTCGAGATGCAACCAGTCTCGTATGCGCGGGTCATTTCTGACCCGGACGCTTCTCACGCGAATTGAATTAAAGACCGTAACAGGGTCGATACGTCGACATACGGAAGTTTGTTTAGGTCGCAAGAAGAAGAATAGAAGAAGAATCTGTTAGGAATTGTTATTAAAATGCTACTGAAAATAATTCTCATTCGACTCGGCTGATATCATAGTAATTTCTGCCTAATTCGCGATGCTCGAATAATCGTGTCTCCTCTTCCGAAATTGTCCATTTATGTGCTTGTCCATTTACCTGAACGCGAATTACGGAGAGAAATCACGGTGTTTCTGAAACGTTAAACTTTACGATGCCGTGTGCGAAAAAAAAGGAAGGAAATCGATCCGACAACTCGTCGAGAGAGGGAAGACGCCGAGATTTAATATCGATTAAGCGTGGCCTGATGGAACGGCATCGATACGAAGATGTATCGTCGTACAGGAGACCTGCTGCTACTCTGCACAATTGGATTGCTCAGCGAGCATGTTTCAGCTCGCCGTGAACAGGTAGTTAACCGTGGCTACGAGATTCTGTAGCGGGAATCTTATTACCGGTTGCATACGTAAGTGCCATTCGTTGGACGTAATCGGCACGTTCATTGATATTAGCGGAGCGTCTTCGCCTGTCACGGTTCCTCGCGATACCTCTCGCCCCACGTTACAGTAAATTCTGCCTGATTAACCAGCTTGTACAACAAAAAATGGAGATTTTGGGAAGAGGAGATACGATTGTCCGAGCTTTGCTGCTCGTTTTTATAGTCAGTGCGATGCTTTTTAACAGCAATTCCATAATTACGTTAACAGCCGGAAAGGGGTGATTCCTGAGGCGATTCGAAGCAACTTTTTCCTTTAGAAAAATGTTCTCCGGGGCGTCGTTTACGAGTTATTAACGGAAAACAGTGACCAATGAGGCGAGCACTCGGCAATGAGCGGTCGACGCCCGGTTCCAGCCGATTGGCTCGGCCGCCTAGCGCCGCCTCGCGCCAGGCGAGCTCGCTTCTCGTTGGTCGCTGTTTTTCGTTAATAACTCGTAAACGATACCCCGGAGAAAATTATTGTAAAGGAAAAAGTTGCTTCAAATCCTCTCAGGAATCACCCGTTCCCGTGACATCTTTGAGGCGCCCTGTATATTCAACGATTACGACGACAGCTATCAATTTTCACGTTCGAACTTATTACTTCCAATCGATGTTACGCATTGCAACCAAAAATTCCAATAATCTAGATACTTTCGACAAAGAGAGAAAGCGAGAGTGAGGGGGGAGAAGGAGAGGGAGTATATTTGGTTATCGTAATCTCCATTAAAGCGTGCAGGATCTTCCAGCGGAAAGGTGGCTGTACGATATCGAATGGTGACATTTCACGGGAGAAGCGATTGTGGGTCGCTAAGAGGATTGTGGATCACCGTCTGCTATTGGCAACAATAACCGCAGCTCGTCACCCACTCGGTCCGCCTCCCCTGCCATAAATGTGCCACTGATAGGGAGCGACTCTCGATGCGCGTGCTTAATTATACCGGCTCGATCGCGTGAAACGGTAAAAACCGTCGCGCTCGATTCGGTACGCGAAGGATACAGTTCAGAGATTGTTCCATTGACAGATGCTTTTATAGGATACGATCTCAGCGATCTCAGCAAATGAAACATGCCACGAATGCGAAGACGCTGAATTGTAGCATACAAGGCACTCGATGGATTCGAGCTAAGAGGTGGAATTCTTCCATTACACTCGCATAACACGTTACAGTTTTCGCCCACCTGTTGCCGAACACCCCGCTTATCTGCTAACCTTGGCATATTTTATACATTTTACATATTTTCATTGCAGGTCTGCTAATAATAATAATAATAACACAGTACACAATACACGTGCTTAAGTACTAGGAATTGCATAGGAGACGTTCAAATTATAACAGCTGAAACTACGTCTTTTATAATATATAATAGTAGTAGTATAATATTTTAATATATTATTTTAATATTGTTGATACAATAATTTAATAAAGAGATTGTCTGCTCATTATTATTTACTACAGTTTCTCTTGTTTTTGGTCAAATAATATGCACTCGTCTTACTGTTCTACAATCATTTGCTAAACGAAGCCTAGCTAACCCTAAAAGTCAGTGTTATTTTATATTATATTATATTATATTATATTATATTATATTATATTATATTATATTATATTATATTATATTATATTATATTATTTTATATTGCATTGTATTGTATTATATTGTATCATAATTTTAATAACCTTTATTCTGCTGTCTCGCCATATTGTATTAACGTTATCAATGTGTTAAAGTGATATCAACTTGAAAAATCAGTCCAACGAATCTGTCGCGAATCTCACGTAATCGTCGGATACTTCTGCACGCATATGATTATGATCGACGAGAAACCAAACAGGGACACCTATTGCAGGCAGCTCTATATGAGCGGTCAAATCTAGCCCTTTGTTGAGAACAGAGTGCAAACGCTATTATCAGTCTATATCAGTGCACAGGCACAATTCTGGCTGATCGAAATCTATTGAAGGAGAGATCGTCAAACAGGCTGCTTCGCCATTATATGGTGCCGACTACTAGTTTCAGCATGTAGCGAATATTTAAATATTTACCTATACTTGATAATTGATTGATGAATCAATAGCTGGTTTTGATTTCTACGAATCTGTTCGATTTGGCAGGGTGCATCGCTTCCGTTGGACGTCGAAGTTACTTCCGTCGTTGTAAAAGATCGGGGAAAATGTCAAAACGGTACTTTAATTGAAACAATTGTATTTATAGTATTGATGAAAATATTTATTTAAAGAATCGATAAAAACGTTCAAGATGAAAATTTAATGATTTTCTTTTCCATTCGGAAAATATATTTATAAAGTTTGGAGCACATTTAAAATATCTGCTTTTATCAACGTAAAACCGTGAATGGAGTTGAATCGCGACTATCTGATTCATTAGGCGACAGTCGTCTACCCTAACGGGAATTCTGTAAAGCCAAAACCGATGCATCAAAGAGTTAATCAAAGTCAGTCTATTCCCCTTCCAGAGCAGATCAATCGCTTTCCGTATTTAACGGAGGACGCGTTTCTATCGTCCCTTCACTCTGCCTGTGAAATAAACGCTTTACCACATGGCATTCTAATAAGCGACGCTGTTCAAGCAAGTATTTTCCTAATAGAACGTGTAATTAAATATTAAACATGAATGGTTGAATTCATTAATGCCAAAAATACAATTATACAATGTTACAAATAAATAACAGTTACCTATGGCATGTTAACTGTACTATATTGTGTATTTTCAAGTACTTTAACAATATTTGTATTCGATTTATACAATAAACAAAGTGGTCATAAGTGTTCTTGTATTATTTTAAATATCAAGGAATTAGGCAAGATATAACAAGAACAATGCAGTAATAAGAACACAAAATTATCAGAATACATGGAATAAATGCATTTCATTGATGTAAGGAATGACGTATATCTTCCAATTTTATATTTCTATGCATTCTAATTAGTTATAAACGATTTTCCATTTTATGTTACAAAATTGAAAATTCGAGCAAATGATTCGTGCCGTTTTTCCCATAAGGAATCGTGTAAATTCCGGCACGAATTTTCTGCTGTTTGCAAACAGCCGAATAGCGCCAATTTTATGCAGCGGCAAAACGCCCAAACTATTCGTCAAACAACATAAAATTACCAACTCTGCACCAAAACATTGACTGCCAGCGCCATCTAGTGACAAATGGTAGAACTATTAAATCAATATTTGGCTAGCAGTTTGGGCGTTTTGCCGCTGCATANACGAATTTTCTGCTGCTTGCAAACAGCCGAATAGCGCCAATTTTATGCAGCGGCAAAACGCCCAAACTGCTAGCCAAATATTGATTTAATAGTTCTACCATTTGTCACTAGATGGCGCTGGCAGTCAATGTTTTGGTGCAGAGTTGGTAATTTTATGTTGTTTGACGAATAGTTTGGGCGTTTTGCCGCTGCATAAAATTGGCGCTATTCGGCTGTTTGCAAGCAGCAGAAAATTCGTGCCGGAATTTACACGGTTCCTTATGAGAGAAGCGGCACGAATAATTTGCTCCAATTTTCAATATTGGAACGTAAAATGAAAAATCGTTTATAACTAATTAATTACAATTCGAATATAAGGGAAATGATTGGAATCACTTCGCTAGAGCCCTCTTCTAGCNAATATAAGGAAAATCATTATAATCACTTTGTTAGAACATCTTATAAGATTTATTTCTGTTAGGGAGCTAATGATTCATGCCAGAATCAAGAAAAATTGCTTTCAATACTTTCCCGTCGGAATTTTTAAGTGCTTCAAATAGGTATCGAATTAAAACTTGAAGAATGCACTTTACGATAAGCATAATTCAATTAAAAAATAATTATAGTATATATCAGAAATTGAACAAAAATGACGGATTGTACCGAGGTCTTAATTTTCAAATGCATGGGTTCCAGAAAAATGATATTTATAATAAAAATGCAATTATTTACACACAACTATATATTTTAAGTTTTTTAATTTATTTAACAGATATAGATACACTTAAAATTGTGTTAAAAATATCTTAATTAGATGAATTATTGCGCAGGTACTATTTTTGTATATTTTACAATATATTATTTATACAGAAATTGAACATCGAAAGGAAAAGTCATGATTATTGCATGTAATTTCTCAGTTCTCATCGGTAAGTGTGTTGGGGTAATTGAGCTTATTAATATTGACATATTTTACACACATATCATTTACAACATCTGGTACTTTGTAAATATATATGTATAGGGATACATTCTGTATATTCCATGCAAAGCACTGATAACATTATAATTACACAGAGCACCAAGAGCTATATATCTAAATGATCTGTTAAATATTAGTAACAATACCTTTCAAATAATTTTATATCTAATATATTATAATTTTAGAAAATGAATAAAGTATTTCATCAAATAATATGCCTATTGGCAGAAGGGCTATCTTTTAACTCGTCCGAGATAATATCCGGAATAATACAAATATACAAATAACGTCCGGAATAATACAAAATGAAAAAAGCAATCTAACAAATAACAATTCAACTATTTTGTGTTATTATAGTGTAATTAATTATTTTCACATGTTGTAATTATTTTCATTATTACTAAAGCATTCAGGTCTGTGCACTCATTCCTAGGGAGTCATTGTACCCATGTCTCTATAGAAGAATTGTGTAAAAAGCTGCTTCGGCAAGCAAACTTTGTACCTAAAAACCATATGAAAAATAGCTATAAAATTACCTATACAGGTATTTTTTTAAATTTTGCATATTATAATCTGATGGAAGGAAAACTACAAAAAAAGGGGATCCCAAACGTTATAAACTTTAGTGCTCCTTTATAGCCAGTTACTACGTCTGGGGGTCTTTGTTGACTTACAACACACCTTGAGCACTTTGTATCGCGAACTGCGATCAGTCTCCCAAGGTGCTTCAGTGTTAAGGTGCATCAAATTCTCACCTAAGCATCTTAAAGGCCCATTAAGTAAGTTTTGGCGTGTATCACACCCAGAGAGGGTAGTGATTTATTTTTCGTGATAAAACACGAAGTTCCTAGCTAAAACATAAAATCACTAGCAATTAAAAAAATAACCGAAATCATTTATATGCAATGAAATAAACTATCAAAAAGGAAAACACCTGCTTACTCGTCCATATAGAATGATTTTATAGAACACTAATATTCAATAACAAAATTGAGTTTCCTTTCTTAATTATTTAACATCTCTGAGGTAGTTACATAAAAATGAATAGTATCACCTTTTT